GTTTTTATTTGCAATTCACATGGTGTCCCGACCTTTTTGGAACTGGGTTTGTAAATGAGGACCGTAGATAAGCTTAAATTTCTTGTTATCTACATTAGCCTCATAGCTCAAGTGTAAAATGAAAAAAGAAGAAACTTTAAACACCAAACATGTCTTTGCAGATTGACTGCATTTGAGACAAGGACAAAATTGGGTAAATTTGGGTTTTAAAAGGTGAACTGAGTTATTGAGCTTGGGCTTCTTTGGGATACAAAGCAAGAGAAGCCTTGGAAGGAGATACTGAAGCTAATCAGAAAGGATGAGGCCAGCGTAGAGAGAGGGAGAATGAGAGGGAGAGATGGGGTATTAGTGCTGAGCTGTGGAGAGGAAGGGACACTGTCTGACTAGGCCGAGAGCACAGGGCAATACTCAGCAGAAATCACACAGAATCACATGCACACGCACACACACACACACACACAGACGCACCATGGATTTGCTCCAAACTGCTGAGACACAGACCCCGTTATTGTGTGAATGTAAAGTAGCCATGTAGCCGAAAAGAAAACCTCAGTAAATGGACATAGTTGGGAGAGAGACAGTGTGAGTGAGCGAGCAAACGAGGAAGAGTGTGTGTTTTCTGGCCACTGTTAGCAGTGTCTGTGCCAATTTGCCTTTGATCTCTGACTGACACACTGCTATAGACTCCTGCAGCCCCACTGTTCAAGCTCAAGGCCTTGCAGTCATTAGCTCGGTTGCTAAACCTCGCTTGCTCGCCAGGACCACTGCCCTCGGCCTCACTCAGCCTACAGCTCTCCACAGCCTACTGCACATACATACAGAACATGACTTTAGAAGTCTGACTCGTCCTCTAGAAGTTGGACGCTAGATTTCAACTTTAAACATGTCCTGCCTTTTGAACAAGAGACTGAAATGAGCAGTGATAACACCTACCAAGTGACAAATGTTATTAGTACATGGTAAAATCAATTTATCACCAAAATGTATTGCTAATTTACTGTTATACCACAGTTAGTTCCGGCCACGCAAGCTGATTGGTTGAAAAGCGTTCTAACTGTGCTGTTATTTCGCCATAACAGCATGTTTTTTTCACAAACACGGTATCACTCCGCTTAGATGCCATTGCTAAGCAACGACTTTGAGCTGTAGGAAACGCTCAAGCCATTTGAACGTTTTAAACTAGATTTGGTCAGACTCTGTAGATGAGAACACTAAATTCCCAAACAGTTATTACCATTGAGCAAGCTTTTCAGTCGGCAGCTGTGACAGAAGAACACCCAAGTTAAACAACCTGGAATTAGCCAGAAATTAACCGAATACCATTTGCCAAAAAATGGGCTGTAAGATGCTTTACAGGCTGGCTGGAACAAAACAACATTAATATTGATCTAGCAAAAATTGACAAAACTGAGCTAAACTTGATATTGCGACAGTTTTATGGCTCAGTCTGTACTTCAAAAGGCGAGGCTTACAGCATACTGTGCAGCGAGTGAGCGGAGTTCATTGCTCTGATGTAGCAACAAGCTGCTTGTAAAAGAACTCTAATTTGGCGGAAGGAACTGCTAACATTAAAACATATTAAATGACACATTCATGGCCCAATTTATTTATTTATTCTTATTATTTTATTTATTTAACTGTTGTATAAAAGCAATAGAACACTCAAGGTTGTGTGTTATTGCGAATAACATCACAGCTGTTATTTCGTGATAACACACTCCGTCTTGTGTTCTATTGCTAATTTTAGTCTTACGGTATGTTATCAACAACATTGATACGATGCAAGTTTTAAGTCAAGGAAATTTTACCTAATAACGTGGAGCTTGTGAACAACATGGAGCTCCTGTGACATCACGACCACCAATAACTGGAAATTGCATTTTATGGCTACTGTAAAAAAGGGTTAAACTAGCGCAGTGTTTCCCAGTGTTGGTCCTGGAGGCACACCACCCTGCCCAGACTCCGAGCACTGTTCAATTTCTCAGTGCGTCACATGGCATTTTGCCATCACTACATTCAATTAAATCTGTACTGAGACAGCAGAAAGCCACAGTAGATCACGTGACCTGAATTTTACACATATGAAGGCAGTTAGTATTTCAGATAAACAGACAGATGCTAATGCTAAGTTACCTCAGCTAACATTATTATCCAAGCCTTTTTCAGCTCATATCTTTCAGGTCAAGCACAGCTAGTTTGTGTGGAGGTAGTAAATGGTTGCCAAGCATGATGAGTGATGCTGAACACTTTATTTCATTCAGTTTGTATGAGTGGAGTATAAAAATGAACTTGAGCCTTGTGTTTTTGGGCTTTCCCTGCCGTTGTTCTGTAGTAGCGTTCTGCTGATGCTGTATGACATGACGCGCGTGTTCAGTGTGACACCCACAGACAGTATTTACTGTAACACTGATCATTCAGAGTGAGAAGGAGAGCAGGACGCAGTGATAAAAATGTCAAACTTGATGAATGTACGCAGTGGTCATTGGAAATCATTGACAGTGAGTCTGTGGGAGGCCGAGGTGTTGAACAGAGGTCATCGAGGTCTTGACCCCCTCCACATCAGCCTCGGACTGCCTCCTGGATTCTGATCTGGTCCAGGAGGGACTACCACAATTTCCAAATATGGATCATTCATCATATGGATCAGGTATGATTCCAGAAGAACCCGGACTGATTGACAGCTCTGATCAATGTAGCCTTCAGCCCTGGAGGTCTTTTTTCACACTCTCTCCCCTGTTCCATATCTCCCCTGAGGTTGGTGTGACCTCGTCGGGGCGGTGACACGGGATCAAAGGAGGTGCTCGGGCAGCCTAAGGGAATTGGCTAAGCTCTTTAAAGACTGATCTATCAGTGCAGGCCTGCGAGACCCAGCGGACCTCCGACTGGTTGCTGCTGAAGGACGTTGAGATTGGGGATGAAGGAGCAGGACAGTTTCAGTGTCCCAAATTGGGACAGAGAGACATATGCTGCCCATGAAAAGTTTGGCAACACAAAGCTTTTCAAAATGATTTTAGTACAAACAAACTTACTTTTCCTGTAAATAACTTAACAAATAGCCAAAAATCAGATTTGCCACTAAGTTAGCACTGTGTCAGATGCCTAAATCATTACACACTTACTTCAAGTGCCTCATAGCTTTAGAGTTACAAAATTAACCACCTTCCAATGACTAACATCCTTAAAAGACACGTCCTTCATCAAGTTTTCTTTGCACGCTCTTTCAACGCGCTCTCAGATTCATACACTTGTGGAAATGTACTTGTTACAAATTTCCACCAGAGAGGGCTCCAGATGCTCATATCTTACATACTGTAGCTTTAATTGAAAAGTAACAGTGAGAATATTCAAATTAAATTTTCAGTTCTGAAGAAATGACATTACATACAGCGGTTTATTTATTGAGGCATTAGTTTGCATCACAGCATACTCACAACACCTACGCATAGATATGCACGGATTTCTCCAATTTTCATTCTTTAGGTGTATGTGTGTGTGTGTGTGTGTGTGTGTGTGTGTGTGTGTGTGTGTGTGTGTGTATGTGCGTGTGTGTGTGTGTGTGGAGTTAGGGGTTTTTCTCACCGGCACTATGCTGTTGTGGAACACTTTGATCTGAGCTGGTGACATTAAAGTCAAACATCAAAGCTGCTTCCCTGCTATTACACTACGCCTCACTCACTGCCTGCTCTCCTCCACTCTCTCTGTCCTTCTCTACATCTTTCTGCTTTCCCTTTCCCTCTCTCTCTCTGTCTCTCTCTCTCTCTCTCTCTCTCTCTCTGTCTCTTGCTGGTAGTCTTTACAACATGGCCTTGCTTTAGGCTAATTAAAATGGAACTAGAAAAGAAGATGGCATATAAATATCTTTTTGTGCATTCATGTGTAAATATATAATTAGAGTGAGAGCTGTATGTGTCCATGGATGCAGATTGTTTGTTTTAATATGTATACATACATCATTATGTACACCTCCTTCTGTCTATCTTTAGTGGTCAGGCCATTGACCACTATATGTATATATATATATATGTATGATATGCATGTATATGTGAGTTTGTGTGTGTGTGTGTGTGTGTATATGCAGCATGTCGCTGCTATCGGAACAAAACCTCGGATCTCCAAAATGGTAAAAAGAAGAAGCATAAAACATACTTTACTTTCAATGTAAGTCAGTGGAACCCGATTTTTTTCCAAGTAATTTTAGGCCTTTTCTTTTGATCCATTTATCATGAAATCACAATGTAAAGAGCAACAGGCATTTTCAAATTATGCCAAAAACAGAAAAATGACAAAAATGGAGATATGATGTTTTGTTCTGACAGCAGCGATATAATCCTATAAAGTTTGAAGTCGGTTAGTCTTATTTTCCCAGAGTTACAGTACACTAAATTTCTCTGGCTCAGGAGCTCTACTGCGGGCGAGTGTCCCAGCAAGCCAGCCTGCGGTGCGCCTAAGTCAGATACAATTTTTTGAGATTTTGGTCCATATCTCCAGTTCCATGAAGGCTAGCAATTGGAAAGGGCACATCACACTCTTCTTGTGGAGCTGGCTTCGTCACAGATTTTGAAAGTCGGATTTTTATAGTCGCTTATTGCAAAGCATTTCTTTCTCCTCTAGTTTTATTTGTGACATCATCAACGATTAGGCAACGATGACTCAACTTTCATCACTGTGGACAAAATCTGAAGTCGTTCATCCCCCACTGCCTACTACTAATTACTCTGTGAAATTGCTCCATTTTTCTCAGAGGTATTTTTAATGGATACAAACGCATGAGTTGGTAATTGAAACACAGCCCCAGTCACATACATTTTTTGTGACATGTAAGTTATTTGTTTAAATTTACTTCAACAACTAGACTTTGGCTACAGAGATCATGTGTGCAGAACTGTGTGTATGCATGAGTGACAGAGAGAGTGAGCTTGTGTGTGTGTATGTGTGTGTGTGTGTGGGCAGCAGTGTGTGGGCGTACGCAGTGATGCTTTAATCCTCTCTCTGTTCTCCAGGCTGTGCGTTCCTCACCTACTGTGCCCGTGAGTCAGCCATCAAAGCCCAGAATGCACTGCACGAACAGAAAACTCTGCCAGGGGTACGTATTCCTCCCTCTCTCTCTCTCTCTCTCTCTCTCTCTTTCTCTTTCTCTTTCTCTCTCTCTCTCTCCCTCTCTCTCTCACTTACGCTCTCGCTTTCTCTGGTGACTCACACAGGCTTGCAGTCAGGGAATAAGAACCACTCCCACTTCAGCCTCTTTCTATCACACACAGAAAATATTGATATGTAAAGCTGCTGATTACTAAACTGCCGCATTTAAGAAGCATACGCAACATACACATCCAGTTCTGACGTTGTTGTGCCTAAATGAATGCGTAAATCAGCTCAACCGTAGATGTGACTGTGCTTCTACAACTCAGTTGAATAATGTCTTGAATAACGTACAACATATTAGGTTTCGTCTAACATTGCATTTTATTTTATATTGGTGTGCCACTATAAACATTTGCAAGTATTTACTCATTTGTTTAAAGACATAGTTCTTGAATTAATAGCTTTCTTGAGCCTGTTAGCATCACTGTTAGCATTACAAGCCTATACTTTGTCCATGTCACTGTTAGCATTATGTGCCTATACATGTTTAGCATCACTGTTAGCATTATAGATCTACATAGTGTTACCATCACTGTAATGGGCCTTTATGTTGTTAGCATCACTGTTGGTTTTATGAGCCCATACATTGTTAGCATCACTGTTAGCATTACAAGCCTATACATTGTTTATGTCGCTGTTAGCATTATGAGCCTATACATTTTTAGCATTACTGTTAGCATCATAGGCCTGCATATTGTTATCATCACTGTTGGTGTTATGTGTCTATACATTTTTAGCGTCACTGTTAGCATTTCAAGCCTTTTGTTAGCATCTTCGTTAGCATTATAAGCCTGTACATTATTAGCATCACTGTTAGCATTATGAACCCCTACATTGTTAGCGTTACTGTTATGTGCCTATACATTGTTAGCATCGCTGTTAGCACTACAAGCCTATACATTGTCTGTGTCGCTGTTAGCATTATGAGCCTTTACATTTTTTGCATCACTGTTAGCATCATAGGCCTATGTATTGTTAGCATCACTGTTATGGGCCTATATATTGTTTGCATCACTGCTGGTGTTATGAGTCTATACATCGTTAGCGTTACTGTTATGTGCCTATTCATTGTTGAAACCTATATGTTTAAGAACCTATACATTTTTCACATGAAGAGCACATACATTGTTAGCATCATACGTCGTTAGAGCCTATAATGTTGATAAAGACTATACATTGTTGACAATGATATCCATGAAAAAAGTTCCAAATAGCAATGGTTAAGGCTGCGATAACTAATTAGGCTAACTTAATTTTAAAGTCATATAAAAGCGTCCACCTTAATTTGTTTTTCTTTAGAATGTTAACTGCATATTTGTTCATTTTTATAAAAATTTCATAAAAATAAATAAATACATTTTTCTGCCAAATTCCACAGGCATGACAATGACAGGCATAGCTTGCAGGTACCAAAATGCCTGCGTAGAATTACTTTTCTGAATTACTTCCCCACCCCGAATCTCTTTGTGTCCTGGGATGCCTTCGTTCCTCCATTAAGACTGTGGCCTGTGCCCGAGAGTAAGGAGGACTCAGAGAAATGATGGCCCAATCGAATCAGCCTCCTCTGAGCGTCTCCCTAATGACCGGAGCCATCACAGACGACATCCAACACATTAGTCACTTATTTGTTTGCGTGTTTGTTTTCTGTTTCTTTAAAGTAATGGCTCGCGCGCCGTCTACCACGGGGGATGCTGTGATAGATATCGCCCCGTCTTTCCCACTAATGGAGTTGTGATGTGCCCCTGCCCTTTGCTTTCGGCTCGGAGGGAGCCCGTCGCTCGGTGCCAGGCTGATGTGGAGAAGTTTGATATTGCCTTATGGATAGATAGAAACTTTATTAATCCTAAAGGAAATTGCAGAGTTACAGCAGCAAAAGGACTACAAATTATGGGCTTTCAGGATTACTCAATTGAACCCCATTACTCAAAAAATGTATATAATTGATTAATGGAGATGTGTATAATATTTAGTAGCATCTAGCGGTGGGGTTGCAGATTGCAACCAACTGAGTACCCCTCCGTCACTTCTCCCTTTCCAAGCATTACAGTGGCCGTCAGGTTTTCTGTCATCTCCTGTCCTGTCCTGTCCTGTTTTGCTTCTTCATGTTTTCGCTGGTATCTTTGAAAGGCTACACATGGTCTGTCATTGTTTAGATCCATTTTTGTTATTTCACGTCTCTGATTACAAGAATAAACATCAAATAGAAAAGCATTGCCAATAGAATGATATGCTCTGCGTTCGGTTTATATAGTTTTTATATGAAAAAATCATGTCCAATATTTTTGTGTAACCCCCTAACTTCCATTGCTTCCATTCTAGATCTCCATTCCTCACTCTTTTAACCTAATAATGATAATTCAGCAATTTTCTATTGTTTTCTATGACATTACTGAATAACACGCTTTAGCATGGGGAAATACAAAGACATGTAAGGGGTTACTTCGGTAAATAGAACAACTCATGAACTAAATAGGTTCATGAGTTGTTGTGGTGCAGACTGAGAAAACCTTTGTCTGAGAGCCCATAGTGAGCAAAGATGATCTTTACACAGACTAAATTGATTTTACAAGCTCATGCTAAGTTTCCAATTTGGATTTTGCATTTGCATTAGAATTACGGCAGAATGTGAGGTGGGAGAATAATTGTAGACAAAAATGATTTGTACACATGAAGAGCAAAAAGAGAGAAATATCCCAACAAAGTCTTTAGTGGAATAGTTTTTATAGAATTTTTTATAGATTTTATTACAGTATGTTATGTTTGAGACTACATAACAACTGGTTTGAGGTAAGTGTGTGATGATTTAGGCATGCAGTTTGTGAATCGCTGGGTATGTTTCTGTTACTTGTTAGCTAAATTAGCCTCTTGGCTAAACAGTAAATTTGTAAATTGTACATTTTGGAGTGAAACTTTGCTTTATTTCATTGCAACCTGACAAAGAAAATGTGCTTTGTTTATATGAGACTACTTAAAGCTACACTGTGTTTGTTTTGGGGATTTGGAGACCACATTTGGAGAATGTGTAATTGCATGCAACATGCATTTTTCGATGTTGGTTGTGTTTGTGAACCCTTCTGCGAGTGGATGGATCTGATGTTTGTGAATGTTGGTGAAGGATGTGTCTTCCAAGGATGTAAGTGGATTATCTACTATTGCTGCCCTCATCGATATAATATTGATTTTGCTTAAACATTGGGCAGACCTCCTACCTAAGATATGGTCAGAAAAACTCCACGGGCACCATATTTTAGCATGTTTTTTTTTCTTGTCCTGACTGAGTAGTGTTACTTGTTATGATTTTAGCAAAGAATCTTACAATCGTAAGTGCGACTTTAATAACTCAGCAAATGATGTGTGATGATTTATTGGTGGGGTATAAGTGATGCTATTTAGCAGCTATTAGCTTCAAATTGTTGTTAGCCACATTAGCCTCATAACTCCAGTGTAAAACTAGAGAAGCAAGCTTCAGAAATCAAACATTTCTTGATTGATTACAGTCCAGGTAATGGAAAAATTCCGTTAATTTGATTTTTACAAAACACCAAATATTTACACATGCCAAACTGTTCCTTTAACATAAAAAGTGCTGAGGAGCCACATATCTAAAGAGTGCACATTTTTATTTTATCAGGGGACTGTATGTTAGTGATTCGGGTGGGGGGGGTGTGCGTCAGGAGTGTTGTGGGGGGGCGTGTTGGGCTGCTGTGTGAGGACATGTACACATGGTGTGCTGTCACAAGCAGGCATGAGGGTGTGTGTTCATACACTCCCGGAGGGTCTATTCCTGCCACCACACCAGCTGCCTCTGAGAGGGAGAGAGAGAGAGAGCAAGAGAGGGGCAAGTGAGCATAAATTGTTCTATAAAGGGACGAGGTAGATTTATGTAAAGGGTTTTGACCATTAATCTTGTGGTCACACACAAGGGCACACAAAACCCATAGGCATGCAAATGCACTCACCAGTACACACGCATGCGACCTTTACTGACCTACACATGTGCCCTCGGACCCCACGTAAATGCATCTCATGCGGCATTTGCTTTGCATTCTCCACCTCTATCTACCCTGAGGGGCACTTTAGATGCCTAAGGTCTATGTGGGACTGAATTCACCTAGCCGTGCTCCGCCCTCAGATGTGTTCTTTTTCAACAACTGTTGTCACGTTGGATTCTTACAGAACATTAGCAAATATTTGCCTCTGTTAACAGTGTGTTTTTGGCAGATTCTTTCATTCTGCCTAGTTTTAATTAGCTACAACAACACAGTCCAGCTCGGTAGCATTTTGTACCATAAACTAAATGCTGTGTATCAACTCTAAACAAGTCGCCAAGTATGAATAATTTAATTATAAGTTTCTGGTTTAAATGCTACACTACTGAGCTTGGCTATGAAGTTGTAATTAACCCAATCTAGGTAAATTAGAAACGCTAGCAAATTTGCTACACTACGGTTATTACACGACGAAAAAGCTACATCCAGTCTATCCTAACAGACCTTTTACACACATACAATAAAAACATTATCTAAAATGCATTAATGTAAAGCTGAATTTATGCATATTGGCAAAAACTGAGTGCTACAATTTCTCATTAGGTTGAAAGGGATATTACCAACATTCCATCCAGCTTGTCCAACCTCGCAACACCCGCTAGGAAAGAAAAAAATTGTGGGCGGAGCATGGATGAGTCGTTGGCACATTTTATGATTGTGATTGTTGTTATTTTTTCAGATTGAAATGCATGCCAAATTTGCCCCAGTTTCTCTTGTGGTTTATATGAATGAAGCCCACTTTTAGAACAGGGTGGTTGCCTTTCTGTACGCAAAAAAGGATATGTGCTACTTTTTTCTGTGCATGTGTGTGTATTTGGGGTGGGCCACTCTAAAAAAAGAGCATAAGGGAGGCATATTTTTAGGCTCGTTAGCCTATTTTGGGTGGAGGGCTGAA